CCCCCCCGTAATAAATTCCATCCCTTCGTTCGCAGATCCTCCAATCACTGATTCCACTGCCAATCACTGGCCATCACATCGATCACAACGCCTCTGATTGGCTCCGTGCATTTTGCCTGTGATCCAGGGACGTGCGGACAGGGGAGGCAGAGCCTCACCTAGTATTATGGAGGAAAAAGCTGTCAGCTTCAAGTGTGAAGCTGACAGCCTTTTCTCCATTCAGATCGGCTTGTTACAGGTTGCACAGCAGGGAAATCCTCCCCGCCATGTAACCTGCCATTGACGGAGCGCTGCCTGTTAATTACAGGCAGCGCTGCATCTGACTTTTGACAGGTAGTTAGGTTACACAGCAGCGGGCTTTCCCACTGCTTGTGTAACCTAACATAGTGAGGCAAGCGCTGTCACAGCCTAAACTCTGTGTTGGAGGCGTGAGCTCCATGGATGGCTTGGACCAATGGCAAAGCACCATTGGTCTAAGCTGTCCACTAAAAAAAACAAAAAACAGTGAGGACATCGATCTCGATGCCTCAACAGTGACGAGATAGTGAGGGACACTTCGGCTGTCTACTCCCTTCCTCCTCCTCACATAGTTTGGTTACCGAGCTGGGTGCAGGGCTTTGGTGGGACGGGGCGGAGCCTCGGCGGGCAGCACAGAAGGCCCAGCACGTCACTGCTGTGATCTGTGCTGTCTAAAGCAAGTTAGGGAATTCAAGCCTTGTGCTCTTTGTTTCAGGGGCTTCAAAATTTTACAAAGTACATGCAGGCATCTTGTGCTCTCTAGTCCTAGGGGATTACATTAGTTTAAACGTATTTTTCCAGCCTTAGAAGTCCATTGGTTACCTTCACAAGTCTGAGCCCTGCGGCAAAATCATGGCAATATATTTCTCTATATGGTTACCCTAAATACCTTTGCCGCTTCAAAAACCCACCCAGCTGTATATAGGGAAAATAATGCAGGCACCCAGAGGTCTCCTCAGAACCCACGAGCACCCCAGAACCCTGAAGCTTGCTCTAATACGGAGGTCAAAAGGTACTGTATGTGCTGCCTGTGTTGTCTTCCAATACACCTCCAGTGTCCAAACTGCAGCCCAGGGGCCACATGAAGCCCGCCGGCACTTGCTGAGAAGTCACAAACTAAGACAAATACACATTCCCCAATCTTATATTACTTTTTTATTTTCCTTGACAACTGCACATCGACTTACTAGTGATGCCTTCATCCAGTATATCGGACATCTTGCAGCACGAAGACAGTATGTGCATGCTGGTGTGATCGACCAGCAAGACCTTGAGGAAGGAAGACACAACAAGATGAGACACTTCTGGCTTTCCACAATAAAGTCCGGTATCTGCTGTTTGCTTGGCATCCATTGCTCATACTTGCTGAGCCCTTTTCCACTTCGGGCATAAAAAGCTCACTATAATAACACGTGTTCAACATGGCAAATGATTTGTGCCGCCCCAATATTATTACAGAATTCAATGTCTGGCTTTTTTTGTTCCGTTCTTGCAGTTCTAATGAAAACAACATACAAGTGACGTACATTTTGGAGGCTATGTCCTGCAGTCTAAAGAATGAGGTGTATCCCCTGAAATGTACATCATTTGTACATTGCTTTTCTGGATCTGCACTTAATAAATGAGATCCATCACAACTGCAAGTAGAGCTCCTTGGTCTTTGTTTATTTTGGATGATTGCAAAATGAGCAATAAAAATGTAAAAATACATTACTAAATTGGATCACCGGTAGGAGGAAGGAGGTCCCGATTCCTCTATATAGATCTTTATTATCACTAGAGGGGTCCCCAGCAGGAGGAAGGAGGTCCTGATTCCTCTATATAGATCTTTATTATCACTAGAGGGATCCCCAGCAGGAGGAAGGAGGTCCTGATCCCTCTATATAGATCTTTACATATCACTAGAGGTATCCCCAGCAGGTGGAAGGAGGTCCCGATTCCTCTATATAGATCTTTATTATCACTAGAGGGGTCACCAGCAGGAGGAAGGAGGTCCCGATCCCTCTATATAGATCTTTACATATCACTAGAGGGATCTCCAGCAGGAGGAAGGAGGTCCTGATCCCTCTATATAGATCTTTAGTTATCACTAGAGGGATCTCCAGCAGGAGGAAGGAGGTCCTGATCCCTCTATATAGATCTTTAGTTATCACTAGAGGGATCTCCAGCAGGAGGAAGGAGGTCCTGATCCCTCTATATAGATCTTTAGTTATCACTAGAGGGATCTCCAGCAGGAGGAAGGAGGTCCTGATCCCTCTATATAGATCTTTAGTTATCACTAGAGGGATCTCCAGCAGGAGGAAGGAGGTCCTGATCCCTCTATATAGATCTTTAGTTATCACTAGAGGGATCTCCAGCAGGAGGAAGGAGGTCCTGATCCCTCTATATAGATCTTTAGTTATCACTAGAGGGATCTCCAGCAGGAGGAAGGAGGTCCTGATCCCTCTATATAGATCTTTAGTTATCACTAGAGGGATCTCCAGCAGGAGGAAGGAGGTCCTGATCCCTCTATATAGATCTTTAGTTATCACTAGAGGGATCTCCAGCAGGAGGAAGGAGGTCCTGATCCCTCTATATAGATCTTTAGTTATCACTAGAGGGATCTCCAGCAGGAGGAAGGAGGTCCTGATCCCTCTATATAGATCTTTAGTTATCACTAGAGGGATCTCCAGCAGGAGGAAGGAGGTCCTGATCCCTCTATATAGATCTTTAGTTATCACTAGAGGGATCTCCAGCAGGAGGAAGGAGGTCCTGATCCCTCTATATAGATCTTTAGTTATCACTAGAGGGATCTCCAGCAGGAGGAAGGAGGTCCTGATCCCTCTATATAGATCTTTAGTTATCACTAGAGGGATCTCCAGCAGGAGGAAGGAGGTCCTGATCCCTCTATATAGATCTTTATTATCACTAGAGGGATCTCCAGCAGGAGGAAGGAAGTCCTAATTTGCTCAGGTCATTCACTTACCTTCCACTCGCCATCCTTTTTGACGCTGGAGATTACCCCAGTCAGGATCTCTGAAGAGAAGAAGAAAAAAAATTTTTTTAGAAAGAATCTTGGCAGATGAATAAACAGGAAATCAGTAGATGACACGGCTAATTATGAATGTATATTATCATACACCTGATAGATTAAAGGAGAACTATGGGGTCAGGGCCTTTCACCATAGTTCTCCTTAGGGTAACGGGAGGACACAAACTAGCGTCCTCCCATCACCCTTGGCTCAGTATACTGCGAGCTGTAGCTCGCGGTATACTGAGGCGCCGCAGCTGAAGCGGATCCCAACAATTGTGCCGGGATCCGCCCAGCAGCGTGACTGACAGCTGGCTCTGCCTATCTAGAGGCAGAGCCAGCTGTAACCGCCCCCTCCCCCGTCCGTTTTCACGCCAGTCAGCGCTGGCGGATCGGAGAGGGGGGAGTCCAGCCCCTCCCCTGTCACAGCAGAGAGCCGTGACAGGATCGAGAGTGTTCGCTCACCTCCCGATCTACTGAGCCGACCTGTGACAGTCTCATTGTCACGGGTCGGCTAGAACTATGAGGTGAGTGAAAAGCACTCGCCCCATAGTTCTCCTTTAAGGACCGTGAAGCTGCAATAGATCACATTTTTGGTTTGGGGTTTAGAAATGCTTGAAGATGCATCGCATGTCGTAGAAATTGTCTGATGATGTAATGTGCGATGTCACAGAGTGAAGTGTAACCAGGATTCCTGCATTCTGTCCGGCATTTCCTTAACAAGCTGCATCTACAAGCAAAACTATATTTTTATTTGTATTTTGTTGATAACCTCAGGAAGGTGTAGAACCCTTATCTTTAATTTCATTGCCATCAGTGATGCAATTGGGGAGTTTCACCCTCTCTACGAGGCCTGGTGAACACTGTCAATGTTCAGTTGTGGAAACATCTTCCAATGGGGACACCTGTTCTGGTGACAACTAACAGGAGACTTCTCCACATATTTGAGCGATTTCCATTACTTCCTGTTTGTGGATCAAAAAGTAACATAATTAAAAAAAACTATGCGATGTCATGTGACAGTGCTCAGGCCTTGTGACCCAGGGAGGGAGATCACATGCATTGGAGAATTGTCGCCGGCTAAAATGCAGCTATGAACGCGGAGGAAGCGCTGGCAAGAAGCGTATAATAGGGTGGGGGCCGCTTCGGGACCGCCCATTGTAAAAAATTCAAATGCTGGACAGCCATCAGATGGCTTGTTCGGTGCTGCGCTGTGTCCCCACGCCAACTTCCCGGGGCTCCGCTGTCCCCCGTGTGGGCCTGGCATGACGGGTCTCCCCTGACAGATCGGAGGGAGATCAGCAGGCTGCTAGCCGCTGATCTCTCCTCCGATCACTGGACCCGGAAGTGATGCGCATTACATCACTTCCGGTGTCACTGAGCAGTCTCTGGCTCTTAGAGCCAGGAGAAGAAGCTGGTGAAGCAGATCTCTTCTCCTAAATATGCTCTTTGGGGTCCCTAGGTGACATTAGGGGTCTTAGAGACCCCTGATGTCTCCATAAAAGGGGACCCGTCACTGTAATTTGATATCACATAGGGAGATTCTTATTCCCCTATGTGATAACGATAAAGTTAAATGTAAAAAAAAAAAAAAGAAATTGGTCACAAAATAAAATTTACACACACACAAAAAAAAAACAATTTTTTTTAAAAGGAGAACTATGAGGTGAGTGCTTTTCACTCACCTCATAGTTCGAGGCGACCTGTGACAATGAGACTGTCACAGGTCGGCTCAGTAGATCGGGAAGTGAGCAAACACATACCGGCGTTCGCTCACCTCTCAATCCTGTCACGGCTCTCTGCCATGACAGGGGAGGGGCTGGATTCCCCCCTCTCCACCAGCGCTGACTGGCGAACGGACGGAGGAGGAGGCGGGTACAGCTGGCTCTGCCTCTAGATAGGCAGAGCCAGCTGTCACTCACGCAGTTGGGCGGATCCCGTCATCTACGTCGGGATCCGCTCCGGCGTCTCAGTATATAGGGAGCTGTAGCTCGCGGTATACTGAGCTTAGGGTAACGGGAGGACGCTAGTTTGTGTCCTCCCGTTACCCTACGGAGAACTATGGGGAAAAACACTGACCCCATAGTTCTCCTTTAAAGCCCCCCACCCCCACATAGATGCGCAAAAATGCGTTAGGTGCGCCTACATGCAAGAAAAACGATTGCGCCAATTACGTAACACTTACGTAACACCGCGAACGTCGCAGTGAGAGCAATAATTGTAGGGCCATCAAACACCGATAACACTAAACTGATGAGCGGTAAAATCTTTTAAAGTGTCGCTTATGGGCCACTTTTGGGTGTGGTAGTTTTTTTTAAGATTTCGCTGGCGTGCGCAAATTTTAAGGCTTGACATGTTTGGTGTCTATTTACCCGACGTGACCCCGCCTTTTATATTTTACCAAAAAATTGGGCAATAATAATTGTTTCCCATCATAATATAGGGAAACGTTTTTTTTTTCTAAATGTTCGGTACTTTTTTCATTATACAGTAACAAAAAACCCCCCCCCCCCCCAAAAATGGCCGGACAGGAAGGGGGTGTAACACCGCGGTCAGCAAGTGGTTAATAACAGAGTACAGCGGTCTTGAGCAAACTTCATTCTAAGGCAATGCCGGCTGTTGCCTAATCACGAACCTTCATTAAATCAGGAACCTGCTCCTACTTTAATATAGTAACGCTATAATAAAAATAGGACGAGAATAGTATATACACAGAGTCACTATGACATACAAATATAACACAACACGGGCAAATGACGGCCGTGCTTAGAGGAAGAGCAGCCATGAAAAGAGGGAAATGTCTCCGGTGTGAGTCAGGCCAAATAGTTTTTTAGGTTTTAAAGTGGATCTGGACAGTGAAGATCTGCCATCTTATAGGGAACAGCTAGAAATGTAATAAGCAGTAGCCTTAAAAAGGAGAACTATGAGATGATTTCCACTCACCTCATAGTCCTAGCCGACCTGTGACAATGAGACTGTCACAGGTCGGCTCAGTAGATCGGGCGTTCGCTCACCTCTCGATCCTGTCACGGCTCTCTGCCGTGACAGGGGAGGGGCTGGATTCCCCCCTCCCCGATCCTCCAGCGCTGACTGGCGGAACGGACGGGGGAGGGGGCGGGTACAGCTGGCTCTGCCTCTAGATAGGCAGAGCCAGCTGTCACTCATGCAGCTGGGCGGATCCCGTCATCTACGTTGGGATCCGCTCCGGCTGCGGCGTCTCAGTATACCGCGAGCTATAGCTCCCTATATACTGAGCTTAGGGTGACGGGAGGACGCTAGTTTGTGTCCTCCCGTTACCGTAAGGAGAACTATGGGGAAAAACACTGACCCCATTGTTCTCCTTTAACCTTGTCCTGAGTTTCTCCTAAAAAATAAATAAATAACGTTGTCAATGTTTTCCATCAATCGATTAGTTGACTTTCAATTAGTTGGCCTGCTTGCGGCTCCCCGCATGCTACTTCTAGTAGGACCAGTACACCCAAGAGACCGGCTCTACATCAGGGGTGGGTAACCTCGGCACTCCAGCTGTCATGGAACTACAAGTCCCATGAAGCACTGCAAGACCCTGACAGCCACAGGCACGACTCCCAGGGGCAGAAGCACGATGGGATTTATAGTTTCAAAACACAGCTGAAGTGATGAGGTTGCCTACCCCTGATCTACAATATTCAAGATGAAACAAAAAAGGGAGATTTAATATCTATGTGTGAGGCAAGCAAAATAAAAAGAGGAAGCCTGTAGCTGTGAGGCTGGGCGTGTGACACTGGTAGGAAATCCTGTGATAGAGTAACGTTGGAGAGATAAGCGCCGGGCCCCAGAACTGACAGTTTACATGTAACAGCTAATGACCAACGGCTGCGGCCTAGCAGTGCAAGGCGCATCCGATGTTCTGATGGTGGACGCGCTTCACGCATTGAACGATAAATCGAATGCTTTGAGACCCGATACAGTTCCTCAATGTTCATGTGTAGGGCCGGGTTCCGGTGTGTTGAACTTCATTGATCAGAACTGATCCAAAAAGACACAAAATCTTAAGCTGCCCATACACCTGATCCCGCGATTGTACGACAATCGCAACGTGTGAAGAGTGCCCGACCGACAGTACTGTACAATCGTACAACTTTTGACGGTCAACCATGTTTGAAAACTTTGGTCGATCGTATGATGTTTGCCGTACGATTAACACTGCGCATGCGCAAAACGAAAATAATTGCCGTCAATTACCGCAAGTCGTCCAGGTGTTATTTTTTTTTTTATCTGCCGCTGATTGAACCTTTCGATAATTGGGGCAGGATGGGGCCGTCGTACGAAAATCGTACGACGGTTCGATCATTGGACAGAAAGTTTCATCCGATAATCGTAACGGTGTATGGGCAGCGTGCGACCGCATTTACTGTACGGTCACACGACTTTCGTATAACGAGCACGCTCGAAAAGGCGATTTTCAGCGGGTTGGTAGCGCAAAGACGAAAGCCGCATGACCCGAGGTGTGCAAGCGCACACTGCCCGCTCACCACTGCAATCATCTGCAAGCCCTCCCCTCAGCGGAGTACGCAAGTACGATCTGCCTGTCCATGATGTGCGGGTCGTACAAAATTTGAATCACCTTACAACCATCGCACAACGAAAGTCGTGCGATGGTTGTAAGGTGTATGGCCCCTTTTCGGCGGGGTGGGCAACTCCGGCCCTCCATCTGTGGTGGAACCACAACTCCCATGAGGCACTGCAAGACTGACCGTTACAGGCACTCCCAGAAGCAGAGGAATGATGGAATTTGTAGTTAAAGCACAGCTGGAGGGTCGGAGTTGCCCACCCCTGATCTAAGGACACATAAAAAACAATTGTACTCTAAGAGGATGATTTATAAATCATCTGCCCAACATATGCTGGATGAATGCCATTCGCACGACATTACCGCCACTAGAGGGAGCCAAGGAGCGGAGAAACGTCCTAGGCTCATTGGCTCCCTCTAGTGGCGAGAATTATGTGCGGACGGAATTGGGCC